TGCTGAACTACCATAAAGCTCCCAGTCCTAAGGAATGCTTCTGTTGTTCTTCTCCGAGCTCAGTAATTCAGGGGCTCCTTACTGGTCCTTGTGCAGGTCATCCTGAAGATCTTTACAACTAACCAAGGGCTGGGCGATCAGGTATCGAAGATCACCATGACCTAGATCTAGCAATCTTAGCATGTCAGCACTGGAGATAGGTTTGGGAGAGCATCTATTTAACATTCTTGCTCTTGCAAATAAGAAAGGACACAGAGAAGCCAGGATCCCAAACCAGGTCTCCTAACTCCCAACTCCTTGTCCTTTCCACACTACGGGAAGAAGAAGACACAAAAGACAGTAAGAAACCTAACCTCTTTGGGTGCACACCAGCTCATACTTACTCCTAACTCCAGGTGGCAGTCTCTCTGCTTGCAGCATCCACGTGAATGAAATCACAACCGAGGGTTTCCCTGGTGAAATATTTTAGATAAATAAATGCCTGGTTGTCGAGCCCGTTGTGACTTCTGACTCAAGTGTTTCTTAACCAGAAGGTGCCATAAGATGATTACTAACACTTGCGTTTAACAGACAATCATTTAGGAAGTCTACTTTTTCCGTTGCAATCTTTAGCCATGGTGAAAGGTACATTGTAATTACTGACTTCTCCCCTGGGTAAGCTCGCCACTTAAACAACCTGATTGATAGACCAGGTCAGAGGAGAAAACATGGAATGGCTACACAGGGTACCTTTTGTCCTTTATACAACAGCCCAAAGAGTGGTCACACACAGCGTAATTACTCATCCAGAACAAATGAAGAAGGAGTACTGGCTCCCCTGCTGGTCCCTGCTTTTGGCTGTGAAGATAGACAAAGGGAGGAGATGGGGTTCATGGACAATGGGGAGGGGGCTGATTCCAGGAAGCTTATCATGGTGGCTCAGAAGTAGCAGAGAACCTGTCCCTGGCACTCAGGAAGATGATTGTCCCAGGGTGGTTGTGTCAATGAGGTCTTTTGTCATTTGGAAACTGGTCACGTTCCACCAGAGATCTTAGCTCTCTGGCAGATGCTCTGAACGTGGCTGTATGTAATAAAACGCCTTGGAGCAGGCTGCTGGTCAACCTGGCCTCTGTGTGTGGTGACAATGATGACACGCAGCACTGGACAGCAGTGCTGAGAGGTGAGGAAGCTGGCGCCACAGCAGGGGAAAGGTGTTCTCTATGGCTTAATGAATTTTTATTCATGAAAAAAAATCCCAGCAGGGAGAAATGACTTTTCAGTTAATTTGTTCCGCTCAACTTTATTTCAAGCTGCAAACAAGCGAGCAAGTATGGTGTCCTCTGTTCTCATTAATAAAAAAGAAATGATCACAGCAGTTGAAACTCCTTTAAGAAAGGTGCAAGATAAATGCAGAGTGCTTTACAGATTGGATGCCATTTATCTTCCTGGGAGCTGGAGAGGAAGATTTCTTTATGTAACACACAAACGGGAGACAGGAGTTTCAGGAGCAAGCTCTTCATCGGTGTCCAGAACAGGAGTGCTAAGGATGTCTGGGGGGAACATACATTCAAATGTAATGTATCCTATGAACAGAGTGTTTACTTATCATCAGCCTGGTAGGTTTTTAGATGCCTTTTATTATTATTATTATTTTTTTTTTTTGAGAGGCTTTTGCTATAGGGTGCATGCGCTCGCCAGAAAGACAGAGGGAGACAGAGATACAGAAAGTGAGAAATCACTCCCCAGGTGGGATGGCCATGCCACAATCCCTTCTCCTCCATTCTCCTCTCAGGATCTTGGGCACGGCACACACACACGCACACGTGCCTGTTGTGAGTTTAAGCCACCGAGTCTGGGACTCGAACAGCAGTTGACTACATGAGCATCCAGCGACATAGCCATTATGCCACCTTTTTGTAAAGACATTTAAATGGCAGGTGATGAAAGTGTCAGTAAAAATTTTATACAAATATGCCCTGTTGACATCCTACATTTTTAAGATAAATACCATTTTCAGCTTCTTCATACAGAGAAATGATCAGCTGAGCAGAAAATGGTAGGAGAGTGAGGGAGGCAGGACTGTCTCGGGAGCTCGGTGTGCGAGGTCAAGAAAAAAGTAAATCCAAAGGATATGATTCAATTTATTCTCTTTTCGTTTTCCATATACTGTTACGTTTCCTTTACTGCCTCATCAAATATTCATTTTCAAGGGCTTGATTCTACTTTTTATCTTTCTTTTGTAGTCTGTACTAGTGAGTCGGAGTTCTCAAAGAAACCAGGGTTGGAATCAATTATTTGGCTTAATTGGGTTGCATTCATCATGAAGGAGAGTGATTCTGGGGCCAAGCCTTGGCACCTCCTGGTACCCTGCACCCCCACTCCAGCCACTTCCCTGCGAGTTACTTCCAGGTCTCTCCGGGCAGAGCCAGCCTGGTAGCAGTGAAGGGCTATTGCAGACCCGTGATTAGAAAGACAGTTGCAATGCAAGTTGTGAGTTCATGAGCCTAGTCTTCACTTGGGGTCAGAGTTTCTAGAAGAGCGGATAAGGGAGAGGCCTATCCCCCATGCTACCAACCAGGAGACCCCACCTCCTGGAACCTCTTATCTCATCTCATGCTCCTGGCTCTAAACCATTGCCAACAGTTTAGTGCACTTCTATTTTTTTAAAGCTTCGTCATCCTTCCCTTCCCTTTCCCAACTCTTTCTTTCTCTCTCTTTTTCTTTTGCTCTCAAGAGTAAGAGACAGAGACAAAGGCTCCCTCACAGGATCTCATGCCATGATCTTCCCCCAGCCTTTCCAGTCAGTCAGGAACTTGGACATACGTGTGCCTAGCATGTACAAGTTGACCCAGGAACCAATCCCTATCTTCTCTAAGGATCCAGCATCACAGGGCAGCACACTGCCACTGCGCCACTGTGGCTGGCCACTTATTCTATCCTCAGGTAACTCCAAAGGATTAAAACAAGAGAAGAGTGTGGCTGTCATGGATGCATCAATGCTGCAATCAATGAGGTGTCCAGTTGTCTCCAGGTTGGCTGGAGTTCTGCCCAGATACATAGAGGCTGGTCATAGTTCTCCACCCACAACATGGAAAAAGAGTCTCTGGAAAAGAGGGAGCAGGGGCTCCTCTGGGGGAGACAGAGCTGAGGGACTGGCCTCCCTCAGTGAAGTGCCCAACAATGGTGGCAACATCAAGGTAACTACAAGGCAGAAGTGTGCGGCCTCGACTGCATCTATGACTGACTCGATGCTGCCTCAAAGAGCACAGGGCAGAGCCTCACAAGCACACCTGCCTGGGGAGGAAAGTCCATTCGCCTGGTTCCCTGGGAGCCACTGTCTCCCATGGGTTTCCATGTGTCCAATCCTCAGCTGTCAATCTTTCTCTCTCTCTTTTATGCATAAAGAGTATGAGAGAGAGAGAGAGAGAATATATACCCTCCACCAAATGGGGCCTGGGCAAGCTGCAATCCCTTTTCTTCCAGTTCTCTATTCAGTCAGGATCCTGGACACATGCATGCACTCCCAGCATGGCAACATGGACCACCAGGTCCAGGATTCTAACCCCAGTGGGTCATGTGGGACCCCACTTCTTCTACACAGTGCTTAATCACTATGCTGTGGGCTGGCCCTGCACTCAGTCTTTCTTGAGACACTTCGCATTGCTGGAAACCAGTGGAGATGGGTTCATCCAGTCTTAGAAGAAAAGGGACCCTGAAGTCCTTCAGTTTGCCACCCATGCCTTTTCTGCCTCACAGAGTGTGAGGAGGAGAATACCATGCTTTAAAGCCAAGGGGCCTGGAGTGGAAGGGATAAAGCTTCATTTTGTATGAGATCCCCAAGTTTACACAGCTCTCTGAACTTACTACATTTGAGGCCTATTAAGATGAAGGAATGACACCCAGCTTTCTAGGATATGGACTGGATCTGAGGTACTGAAAATGAGCTTAGCATCTTTCCTGCCCCCCCAACCCCCCCTCCATATCCAGACCTATTTGAGAAAAAGCTAGCCTAGGGATCACCAAGGTGATCGATCACAAGATCCTAACTTGATGGGGTTCAGTGGAGTATAAATATCTCACAAAGGGACTTTCTTTGCAATTGAGAAAGAAGTGACAAGCTCAAGATTGTACAGCAAGTCAGGAAGGGCCAAGGCTGGAGCCCTAGTCCCGAGACTCTCAGCCCCGTCTCTGTTAGAAGCCAGCCCCGTAGCTTCAGCCAGGAAGAGGAGCACCTTGAGGCCAGGCTCCCTGCCCCAGCAATGGCGAGCACTTCATTCACAGGAGGAATCTGCTCTGTGGTGATCTCCAGCCAAGCAGCGGCTACTGCGAAGTGACTGCCTGGCTTGAGCCTCAGGGCACTTACTGTTCTGCCAAGCAGCAAGCAGCGGCTGGCTTGAGCCTCAGGGCACTTACTGTTCTGACAAAGGTAAAATTTCTTGCCAAGTTCTGATCTCATCCCCTTGGGGCTTTCTCCTAAAGGACTGAGGTGGCTCTGGGGCTTTGAGAAAGCATTCTGGGGCTAGCACAGTGGCCTGCTGAGAAGGCTTCTTCTACCTTCTAACTTCTTATTTTCTGTAAAAAGCAGCGGCTGGCTTGAGCCTCAGGGCACTTACTGTTCTGACAAAGGTAAAATTTCTTGCCAAGTTCTGATCTCATCCCCTTGGGGCTTTCTCCTAAAGGACTGAGGTGGCTCTGGGGCTTTGAGAAAGCATTCTGGGGCTAGCACAGTGGCCTGCTGAGAAGGCTTCTTCTACCTTCTAACTTCTTATTTTCTGTAAAGAATTTAAAGAATTTAGTGTTGCTGTCAAAGCCCAACCTCAAGTTGGGTCAGGCAGCCTCCACCTTCTTCCCCCATTGCCTCTCTGCCTGTTCCACACTGCGTGAGAAGCAGGTGTCCCCGTGCCCCTTCCCACAAAGGCTGAGGGTCTTGCAGAAGCTGACTGCCATTTCCACAAAGGCTGAGGGTCTTGCAGCAGCCCACTCTGCCATGCAGCAAACATGCCAGGGGCCAGGCGACCTCACCCACCTCTTTGAAGGACTTCTTTACCTCCACTAAGGAGTGCCAGTGTGCGATGGGCTTCCGTGGGTAGGCCAGCATCTCATTCCAGTGGTCTCTGCCCAGGCCTTCAGCATTGATCCCCACACGACAGACTCCTATGATTTCATTGTGGCCCACTCTGAGGGAGAAACAGAGGTCCCCAGCAATGGCTACCAGTCATGTTCTCAGAAGGAGAGATCCCCGGAGTGGGATTCTGTTCAGCCCGTGTAACTCAGGACTCAGTTCTGAAAACAGAGGCTCAACAGGGGTCCAGGGTGTCAGTGGCTGTGAAGCTTTGCTCAGAATCCTTGGGTGGATGTTGGACAGAGACAGACGAGTGAAAGGTTATAAACTTGTTTGGAATCTTGGGAAATGGTGGGCAGATGGCCTGACTTTGGGGGGTGGGAGAGTTTAAGTCTCTCCACTTACGTGACTTGGCCAGCACATCACAACCCTACTGGAGACACTGGCATTTGGAAATGAATGGACCCACTCTGAGCACCATACCCTCAGCGACGGGGCTGTGATTTATTCACTCTGCAAGAACATCAATTATCACTCAAGTATGTTCTTCAAGCGCCTCCTATGCCTGAGAGCTGGTGCTCAAAATCCTGAATTGCGGCTTTATCATGTGTTTTTTTCTCCTTCGCCTAAAGTGAAGAAGATTCACAGGACTCTAGTAGTTGGATTCTTTTTTAAATTTTTTTTTATTTTAATTTTTAGGTAGGGTCTCACTATGTCTCAATCCCCCTTCCTCAGCCTCCCTAGTAGCTGGGTCTACAGGCATGCCCTCTTGTGCCAGGCTTTTAGGATGGGTCTGGAATCAAACCCAGGTTGCCATGTAGCCTTAGCCTATAGATCAGCAATATCAACCAGTGTGTGTTACTGTGGCTAGGCCAGTTGGATTTATTTATTTATTTATTTTTAACGAGAGAGAAAGAACACATGAGCTCATGCAGGAAGGAGAGAAAAAGAGGAAGGAAAGAGAGAGGTTTTTCTTTTTTTTTTTTGTAGAGAGATTTTTTGCTAGAGGGTATGTGCACTCTCAAAGAGACAGAGACAGAAAGCAGGAACTTGCCCCCCAGTGGGATGGCCATGCTACAGTCCCTTTTCTTCCATTCTCCTGTTGGGATTTTGGGCACACACACGCATGCACCTGGTGTGTTTTAAACCGCCGGGTCTGGGACTTGAACCATAGTCAGCTATGTGAGAGTCCAGCAACATAACCATTACACCATCTGTTAGTCCCCGAGAGAGATATTTTTAACAATGTGTTGTGATCCTCCTGCCCCAGCCTCCCAGTTGGCTAGGATTACAGGCATGTGTGTTGAGGCTGGACCAACATCGGAACCCTGGCCTCCCAGGTGGCCCCCGTTACCGTGCAATGCTGCCCTCCCACTTGCATCATCGTGTCTAGGCCTGGAAATTGCTTTTGAATTAGGCTTGATGAAAGAGCAAAGTGGAAGAAAAGAAGAAAAATTGTTTACCTGAGAAAGAATGTTATATATCAGGTCATACTGGGTCCAGATTATGGAAGGCTTTAAGAGTCCAGGGGAAAAGCCTGGACAATAGGAGCCATTGATGTATAGTGAATTAATGTAAAAAAAATAAATTTAAAGGAAAAAAATAGGAGCCATTGATGATTCTTCTTTCTTTCTTTCTTTCTTTCTTTCTTTCTTTCTTTCTTTCTTTCTTTCTTTCTTTCTTTTTTAGGTTTTTACTGTAGGGCATGTGTGTTCACCAGAGACAGAGAGAGACAGTGAGAGAGAAAGTGAGAAATCACCCGTCAACAGGGATGGCCACTCTGCAATCTCTTCTGCTGGGACTTTGGGCATGTACACACACATACCCGGCATGATTTTCAAGCCACCAGGTCTGGGACTCAAACCAGTCAGCCATGTGGGAGTTTAGCACCTTAACCACCAAGCCACCTGCTGGTCCCCATTGGTGGTTCTTGAGAAGGGGAGGTCCAGGAATAAAATGGTCCTTTAGGAAGGTGTAGCATTAATTAGGATGTTGGCTGGATTGGGGCAGGGAGTGATGGAGGCTGCCAGCTGTCCCAGAGTGAGAGAAGTAGCAGCAGTAGAGATGGAGAAGGCGAAGAGACATTTTAAAGGACACACCAAAGGACTTAGTGCCAGATGGATGAATGGGAACAGTCAGGGTGAATTTAGGAAAACTGGTGGGTGGGGCTGCCCCTAGGGAAATAGGCCAGCTGGGAAGGGAAGCTCCAGCCCTTTGCTAAAGGGGATCCATGCTCTTTCTCAAACTCCTGTATCTGCCTTGGCTGGAGCCAGATTTGAAGTCAATGGGCGCAGGTCTAAGGCCAAGGAGTCCTGCCTTGCCCTGGAATGTGAACGAGGGGCAGGGAGTTGAGCTCTCTGAGACCCGTTCTTACCGGTCATAATCCATAACCGAGATGAGCAAGCTGACTTGATCCATGTTTTCTGGAGGAATGTCAAAGATGATGGCCTCATTGTAGACAGGATTGAGGGTGTTCTTCTTTATGGTTGTTTTCTTCTTCTTCAGCCTCCGCCCGTCACAAAGCAGGGACACTTTGACGTAGGGATCTGTGCCAGCGCGGGCGGTGGAAAGGGAAGGGAGCATGTCAAACAGATGTCCTGGAACATCATTTGCAGCAGAGGGACTGGGCCTACTGCTGCTCATCAGATGGTATCAGTAGGTTGTTAAAATAATTAAACCACCTTGTATTTATGTAGCACACCTGTCTCTGAGGACACTCTGTGCTTAATAAACACAGTGTCTTTAGCTACCTCGGTATTCCTGAGAGAGCGTGTAATGGACTTTTACCAAGGGGGAGTTGGCCCCAAATCAGACAGGACACCTGCCCGTGGGGATGCAGTTCGCAGCCCTAACTCTCAGCTCCACAGGGAAGACCGGCGCAAACGCGTGGTGAAGCTGAACAATGGCACTATTTCTTTTTTACCTATATGGAGTCCTTTTCCCTGGGGGTTTTAACCAAAGGATAAGGGAGTAAAAATAGAACCCAGTGATGCCCCAGGAGCAGCAATGTGTGAAATGAACAGCAGCAGTCTCGATGCTGTTCATGTCCTCCCCATCTGACACGATTCTGGGTCCCATTGTCCCAATAATCTCAGTTGGCATCAGGAAAGGGGGAAGTGGCCCTGCTCTCTGCGTCCCTTGCAGCCATTTCCTGCCCACTTCTGAGCAGAGGAGGAGGAGGAGGGGGAGGGAGTCATGTCCTGGGGAATAAGGGTAGGTCCTCTGAGATTCAGGGCAGCTGGTTGGCATTTCATTTCGCAGTGGGATCTTGGATTCCCTCCATCCGCCAAGAGATGTCTTTTTACTGAATTTCCATGTGCCGCCCATCCTGGTCTCATCTTTCGTTTTCTGAATGGGTACTTTAATGGTCATGTTTCTACCCTGAAATTTTCTACTCATCCAGGTGAAGTGACACCTATTGTATCTCATAGCACAGGTGTCTCAGTCACCATCATAATTGTTATTTATGCTGCTCAGCTCAAGAAATGAGAGGGCAGCTCACAGGTAATAATAGCTCCGAGACACTGATGCACTGAGACACCTTCTTGCCCAGAAGCCAGGGCTCATGCGAAATCTGTCAGGAGGTGTGGGCCAACGCAGCCATTCCTCCAGCTCTGCGATTCGTGGGCGTATGGTTCCACCCCCGGGCGTCTGAGCACCCACTAGGCCCTCATGCTCCCTGGCATCATTCAGGGGGCAGATGAGGCCTACCTGGGTGGGAGCTAGTGAGGCTGTGACATCTGAACAGAAACTCCCAGCCTTAAAGGCATTTCTATAGACATCTAAATGAGTCCTTGGCTAACCAATGTGACGGCAGCAGCTGCGCCTTAATCACGGGGACACTTGGGTGTATGGGGAACTGGGGAGACCATGAGGTGTTTAATCAACCTGCTGTCTGACTACCCATTTGAAAGGGCTCTGTCTCAGGGGGATCTTCAGTAAAAACTGCAGGAGGAATTTTAAGCACTGATATGAGATAGCTTTCTGGTCTCCACAGCGTTCTCTACGGAGGTGTCACGGAATATTGTTCAGGTCATGCAGAGAGGTAGGAAGAGCCAGCACCAAGACCTGTCTTTAACAGGGCAGCTTTTAGACCCCCTGGAGGATGTACATTGCCTTGGAAAGTGTCTTCAGGCTTGAGGTCACTCAGTGCTGCCTTATTGGGCTGCCATGTCTATCTCTACACACCCTCACGTCAGAGCAGATTTGCATATCAGGAGGCTTGGAAAAGTATAGGCAGAGAGGCACTTGTCCCATGGGCAAATGCCTTATTAGTGACTGGTGATTTTTGGCGTACTTTCCCAACTCTGTTCACCCTGACAAGGGACATCCAATTTATAAAATCCAGTAGGCATATTTCCCTTGCAGAAACTAGTGATCTCACCAGCATTCAAGGGACAAGCAGAGGGATGACTGTTCTCTAGGGTTCCCTGGGGCACACACTTGTGGCATCCAACAGAATCCTGGTCCTGGGTGACCTTGAAGGTCCTTCTCTCTCCATCAGCCTGTAGTGCTCCCTACAACCGAGGGAAGGGCATGAAGACTGGCCATGTGTTTCAGCCTCTTTTCATGAGACCCACACAACTCAGCATGTGGTACGTGCCAGGCATTGTGCAAGAAATGCACATAAAGTATGTCATTAAAAAAAGCCTTTATTTATTTATTTATTTATTTTAAAATTATTGTCAGAAAGTGCTTGCACTTGCCAGAGAGAGAGAAGAAGCACTTCCAACAGGGCATGGGCACGCCACCATCCTTTCCCTGCCATTTCTCCTTCCTATCAGAATCATGGGCATGCATGCACATGCACCTGGCATTTTTCAAGTCACCATGGCTGGGATTTAAACTGCAGATGGGCATGTGGATCTGGGTCCCAATGCACAGTACTTACCACTCCACTACAGGGCTAGCCCACCATGTCATTTAAAGTTCACCTCAACCTTATAAAATATTTATCATTATCCCCATCTTTCTAGATAGGAAAATAGGAACTTAGATTCAGAAACTTGTCTAAGATTTGGTCCTAGATCTGACTCTGAAGCTTACATTTTTAAACACTAGACTCAAAGCAGTACAGACCAGACGTGGCAGAGATAGGTGGGTTTATTGTTACCCCCTCTTTGATGCACACTGATCCTGTTCTTATTTTAGACTATTTTTTGTTGTCATGATTCTAGCAGAGAGGGCTAGAGAACTGATCCTTAGATCAAGGAGAAGAGGAGTAGGATTTAGAGGTCAGTACCATATAAATCAAGAACAGGCAATTAATAAACACCACGCATTTCCTAGTTTAGTCCAGCATCAAGCCATTCGGAGCTGCAGACAACCACAAACTCATCTCCAAAGACAGATCTAGTTTAAGAGGCCCTGGCATGTACCTCCCCACTGCCTCACCCTCAGGCCAGGTTCCTCATGCTATCAATTCGTTCATTCATTTGAGGCGTATTTACGGAACGCCTATAGTGTTCCATATACTGTCTGAGACACTTGCTTACGTCAGTGAACAAAATAGACAGACATCTCTAACCCAAGGAGGGTCCCTGCATTTTCAAAATTAAGCTGAGATTTAATACCAGGTTCTAAAAACAGGTAGAGAAGAAGGGCAATTTTGAGAAGGAGGTTAAAACTCAGCATGAAAAAAATCTTCTACCCCAAACCCTCTGATTTGGAACAGCCTTTGCAATGCCCTCAGTGGCTTTACCATAAGCTCTCGCTAGCACATCAATTTAATTACACTAGAGAAGACAGTGTGGGGGCTTGGGCAGCAGAATCCTATTTCCCTCAGCAGCCTCAAGAGTCCTCAGCGAATTTCCATCCCTGGTACGCACTTATTTTGGTATTAAAATGAAATCTACATTGGCTGTATCTTGGGAGAAGCCAACTTGCTCCTGCCTAAGAGTTTCTCATGACAGAAGAGGTTTGTTAAGCTGTTCGCAATGTTCCGATGTGTTTTGGTAGCTTCAGTGGAGGGAGAAGCATGGCAGTGAGTCCTATCTGGGGGCACTGGGGTCTGGCGGGCAGGAGCACTTCAGAGAGAGGGTGGGGGTTGGAGCAGGGGCTCTGAGGGATTCAAAGCTACAGTAAAAACATGTTACTTCAGGATTTCTTGACCACTTTCCCTGAATCCTCAGTCTTCTTCCAACTGCATTGGTTTGTCCCTGCCCAGATGTTTTCAGCCAGACCATCACCTCTTTACCGCAACTGTGATTATACTAAGCAGTTTTCCAAGAAATGAATAATTAATATATATGAAGGAAATACGGGGAAAAGCTTCACTGTATTCCCAGCCAAACTCAGAGGCATCATCTGAGTGGTTTTACATTGTTAACCCGAACCATCAACAGCGCCTCTTGAGTGGGGGTCTAGGGAAACACACCGCACGTTTTCCTACCTTTGCTATTCTAAGGGCAGCCCAGACTGTCCTATGGGCCTGTTGTTTGGGAGACTTCACCCCATTTCACTCTTCAGAGCAGACTGAGCTGGCAGAGGAAGGAAGCTCCCAGGACTCAAGCTACTCCCTGGTTATTTCCAAACTCAAATACCTTCTCCTACAATGACTTGCAGAACCATGAGGGAGGGATCAAACTTCTGACACCATGTCCAGCTGGCAGGTCTCTGCAGCTGCCCCAGACAAGCATTTCCTCTGTTGCTAGAGCAGGACTGTATTTCTCTTCTCTTGCTGTTTCTAGCAGTTCTCCTGGTGCTGTGGCTGAGGCTGACGCCAGGAGCCCTGAAGCAAAAACTCAAATACAAATACACTTTGTTTTTCAGCAAATTTGCTCCTTTGACTCAGCACGAGGGGCTGTCATAGGTCTGTGTGGATCTGCAAACATTCACATACTCAGCCTCAGCAGAACCCTACTGCAAGTCCTGGGGCCTCATGAAAACTAGGAGGATTATTGTTAGCTTATTTTCCCTCCTATATATTTCCTTCTTGTTCTTACCACTTCTAAGAGAAAGAATGATAGTAATAGCTATTATCTACCAAGTGCTTACTACGTGTCAGACAAAACTCTACATGGAGGTACTCGTTTATCCTTGCCATAGTTTGAATGCTCCCCCAAAACTCACGTGTTAAGATGTGGTTGTGATGGGATTAAGAAGGGTTAATCTGACTGTAGTTTTGAAATGTGGGGCCTTATGGGGAGATTAGCATTAAGGTTGTTAGGGTGGGACCCCCATGACTGGCTTCTGAGGGGTTTATGACGAGAGAGAATGAGACCAGAACAGGGACATGTGGCCACCAACACCTGCACTCCTGCCCCCACCATGCTGCAGTGCAGCCAGAAGATGCTCAGCAGATGCAGCCTCTGGACCTTGGACCTCCACGTGGTGAGCTGGATTAACCTCTACTTTGTAAATTACTCAGACTCAGATAGCTTCTGTTACAGCAACAAATGGACTAGAATAATCCAGGACACAAACTGTGCGAGGTATTACCATTTCCAGTTCTCCGATTAGGAAACCAGTATTTGCATAGCAAGGACATGGCAGAAGCAGATTTTGGATCTAGGCGGTTTGCCTGCAGCGCTGGCGCTCCTGTTCTAAGACAATTTTTTCCCTGCTCCCAAACATCTTCCAGACCCTAATGTCTGGCCTGCTGGGAGGCCACGAGGCAGGCCAGTGGGTAAGAGACGTACCTGAGTAGCCTGTGATGTCCATGGCCTTGAGGTTCCGACATTTAATCACCGTGAGCGTGAGCCTGCCCGCTGTGGGCAGGTAGCACAGGGAGAACATGATCTCTCCCAGGTCCACGCTCTCCTGCAAAGAAGCAAAAGGGCAGGTGAGGGGCATCCAGGCCACGAGGGCACCCTGGCGCTGGGGAGGACCGCTCCCAAGCACAGTGCCAGGTCTTCGAGCACTAGGACTGGCCTCAGTGCTGAAAGTACCTGGGTATAAAAGGTAACGATGACAATGCTGCTCCTCAGTAGAATCTTCCGCCTTCGATATTGCCTCTCAGTTTGGATCAGATTCTGGTCCTGTTCCTTGCCATTCTGCTTTGGCATGACTCACCCCACACACCTCCCTTAGATTCAGCCTCTGATTGTAAGCCCCTTTCTGCTTCTGCCCCACAGCTCCGTGCTTCTTGGTCAGTCCCTCTGCCTTGGCAACTTCTTTGCCTCTCCCAGAACACACCCAGCACTCTGCCTTCCAGGCTCGGCATGGGAGCACAAGGCATGGACGGCCTGATCGGGACATGCCACTAACCAAGCAGACATACACTCGCCACCCCATGTTCGATGCCAGGCCTTGGGTCTGCTTTGTCCTTTTTCCTTAAACGTGGTCATCCTTAAAAATCAAACCCAACAGGAGCAGGTACTCTGTCTCCCAGAATCATCGTGGCCAGGGATCCCCAGAAGTCACAGAGAGAACAGGGGAGCTTCAAAGACAGTAAGAATGCCTTCCTGTGCACAGTAGCACCCTGCCAGATCCCTTCCTCTTCCTGCTCCCCTCTTGATGAAGGAGGGTGCTGCCATGGGGAACCTCCTCCTGCAGGTTTCTGGCTTGGGGCTCCAAGACATGGAGATGTTTTCTCCCTGAGGGTTCCCAGAGCCAGGCTGGAGGAGGAGTTCAAGCTTTGGAGTGGGGTGGGGGGGGCTGGGGCTCTGATTTCAGATGGAGTCATCCATTTGTCCCTTCATTCAGTCAGTCAACAAATATTTATTGGGCACTTTGCTGTGTGTTAGGTGTTGATCTGAGTGCCAGGGATACAGGAAAGAACGAAGTAGAAAAACACCCCTGTCTTCAGAAAGCATATGTCTTATGAGCACAAAGGACAACAATAAAAGGTAAATAAATAAGTGAGACAGTCAAAAGTATCAAGAAGAAAATGGTAAGGCAGAGCAGGGTCATCTAAAATGTATAAAATGACCATGGGAAGGCTATAGTTGTTCAAGTTTTAACCAGGGATGCCTCCTCGAGGGGGTGACTTCTAAGAGAGGAGTGGAGGGCCACGCCAAGGTTTCTGTCTGTTCTCCTCACAAGGAACCGCCTTCATGGGAGGCTCCTGGAGTCTCAGCCCCGGGACTGCCCCTCCGCCACCCCTTCCAGAGCATGTAGTCCCAGTGTTGTCCTCTAGGTGGCACTGACACCCACCCTTTTCTTGGCTCTAGATTTGTCTTTGTGTCCACTCAGAGTCCCAGGAGTAGCAGAAGGTGAATGCCCCAGCTCCCTAGGAGGGGTTCTGGCTGGGGCCAGAGTTGGCCAGGCCACTCCACCCCGCCCCAGCAGAGCCAGAGCCCAGACCAACCTCTGTGGGGCTCTTCCATGAACAGCGTTCTACCTTGGAGGCTCCCAGCAACTGTTGTCAATATTCTTTCCATTTCTCAGACGAAGAACTGGGGACTGAGGTTTAAAAGCCTTGCACAGATATTTCTGGGATGCAGAAATGGATTATTATCTGTTAATGATAACAGGTTTTGTAACCTCAACTGGACTGGTGTGAAGTGTATTCATGCTGGGTAAATTCAATTTATAAGCTAAGTGATCTAGTGATTTTAATGTATGAAGTAAATTAAAATTTAAAAAGATAAATAAAAGCCTTGGCCAGCTAGCTAGGTGCCTGGCACTTGGGAGCATGCCCCTTGCACTGCACCTGTGAGAATGCTCCCCATTTCAAGGTGACCCTGCTCCTCCACACCTTAGCCCACATTCCATCATTGGTTCCTTTGTCCATCTATGCTCTGAGCTCCGTCAGAGGCCCCATGCTTTGTGGATGGTATAGAGTCTCCACCCTGTATACTCAGGTAGGCTAGTGGGGTACAACCAGTTCAGAGAAGGTGCCCGAATCTGTCTCCCTAGGCCCTAGTCATGGAAGGGAAAGTAGAATCCGTTGTGTGTCCTGGCATAGTGGGAGCACGAGTCCCCATTCCGTGGCAGGGTCGGATCAGTGGTACATCTGGCCGAATGGTGTATCCCTTACAGAGGCACCAAGATAGGAGGAGCCCTACCCCTCTGTTTTCCTTCATAAACTTCCAAGTTTCGATCCTGCCCAAATTTCCGGAAACCCTTGAGACTCAGTAAGCACATGAAAGGTGCTAACGCTGCATCCTGGCCCCGCTAAGTCCTGGGCTAGGCTGTCTCGATGAGTGTTACCACAGCCCGGCAAGCCAGGTACTCTTATCATCCCCGATGCACAAGGGAGAGAATGAACATTCTGTGCAGTTCGGGCCAGATTTTCAAGGTCAAGGCTGCTGCTCAAACACCACCGGTGGCTCCTCTTATTCAGTCCCTGGAACCAAGGCTCTTCGAAGGGTTGGGTTCTATCTTACCTCTTCCCCCGATTCTCTCTACTCCTCTAACCCTCTGCTCCACAGAGCTGGAGTCAGCCCCGGATCCTGTGCCTCTCACTGACCTTTCATCCTCACTTTTGGGATGTTTGTGACTTTGGAGTTTGCTATTTTCCTTTGTCAAAATGCCTCCTTTTTTACTCTTTGCTTGGACAGTCCTACACTTGCTATAAGATCCAAGATCGTGTCCCCCAAAGAACCCTCACCCAGGGTCCATTCCACAGTAAGCATCTCTCCCTCACACTCCCCCAGGACTTTCTGCCTCTGAACAACTCCCAGGAGTCACCAAGTTCCCCTCTGCCCTGCAGCCATGCCCCCACCATGCAGAGATCAGAGACCCTTTGGGGGGGGGGGCATTTGCATCACATCTACTTGCACTTCAGAGGGACCCAACAGTGCACCAGGGTGACATCAATGCCTGCAGAAAGGGATGATTACATTTTACCCAAAGTAACCCTAGAGGTGGTTCTCCTGAACTGGCCCTTTAGGCTGTGCAGCTCCCCCAGGGAAAAGGAGTCACCCAGGGCTTTAGGAGCTACTCCTCAAGGACTCCTCCCTCCTGGGAGAGCACAACATGCAGGAGCCCCTCTTATCTGTAGGCTCCCCTTTCTCACAGGACCATGGCCACTGTGGGCTGCAGGAGCTGAGTTTGCAGTGTGCAGCCCCCGGCTCCAGACCCAGCAGTGAGCTCTGCCCTCCATCCACAGACCCAGACAGGCGGAGATCCCGCTAGGACTTGGAGACAGAGCAGAAACAGGGCTGGGGCCTGTGGAGCTCCACCTGGGGCTTCTGCCGTGCATGATCAGCCTCATCGGCCTGCTGGCAAGTTGGTCAGTCTTGGCTCAGAAGATCTAGGTGGATATTGATCCCCTGCTCACTCAGGTAGCAGAGGACTGGGTTATTTGATAAAGGAGCATAAACAGGTTAGCTTTGAGTCAATAGAGGGATGGGAGCCAAGGAAACAGTCAGCATCTCTTGGAAGCCACCCTCCCTCTCTGTAAGCTGGGCCCTGGCTCGGCCCGGTGGCTGCCCTTGCCCGGTCCCCTCTCTGCACTGCCCTTCCTCAGGAGGTTTCAGCCCCAGATCCCACGCACCTTAGCAGCCTTTTATCCTCATTAGGGATGTTCGAGACTTTGCACTTTAATAAAATCAGAGGTGACCGGGCTGCAGAACAGCCAGCACAATATTGCTTTCATCTTCACCTGCTGTCGGAGAGGCCGCCTCAGGGCCGCTGTCCGGTAATGAGCTCTCCAGTGCTGGAGAGGTCACTGCTTGCAGATAGCGGTAGGAGCCAGCTTGGCCCTCTCAACTCCAACTTAGGGGCTGACGGGGTGGAGCCAAGCTGAGCAGCTAGCTAAAAGTCTTGGCTCGTGCTTGGTGGGGGTGAGCCTGATGTCAGGGGAGGGGGAGCCTCCCCTGTTGGCTCCTGGAGAAATCTGTTCTTGAGTCATCTGCCCTCCTGTTTTTGCTACTCACCATAGTAACGCGGCCCTTGGCTGCAGTGCCCAGGGCATCTGGGCAGTGAGGTTTTTCGGGCCCGGCCATTGTATGGCATTGCTCTCATTGGCCTTCCGGAGCCCCATCTGCAACAAATGTAGAGCCCCTTCTCCTTCACTGATGCACTCGCATAGCCCCAAGCATAGGGACAAATCCTATCTTTGAGTCTCTGGGAAAGGCAGGCATACAGGCTTTAGGCCCTCCGCTACCAGTAAGCTGTGAGACCCGGGACCTGGAGGAGCCGTCTCTCATCACCCGTCACAACTGAGACGGCCCAAAGATGTGTCACTTGTACCCACTGCCCACCTCCAGGAATCCAGTCATTTCATCCTGAAATCCGAATGCTCGCATTCCTTCAGCCCCCACTGCCCCCTGAAGGTGTTGCTCTACTCCAGGGCTAGCCATGCTTCCTCCTAAAGAGGCAATGAGTAGCGTCAATGCCGGCGAGTCTGCCTTGGGAATCAGGGCTGAGCAACGCAAGAACGATGCTACCCCATCTCACAGAACACTTCTAGTCTCTTAATCACTAAGTGGCTTGTCTGACTCTCTCCTCGTCAGCAGAGAAGCATCCGCTACACTTTCAGGAAAGCCACAGGAGACTATAAGGATCTTGGAAGCACTGGGCAGGAAGTGCTGTTAAGTTACCCTGGGGTAGGGGAGCCTTGAAGAGAGATGGGGTGGAGGCCAATTTGGCTTCGATGGGTAAAGGAAACTGAGTGAGCACCCTCTCTGTGCAGGCCTGGGACTCAATATTGGGGACACAGAGGTGAGGCAGGTGTGGAAGCCAGATGCTGGGAGCCAGGCCCTGGCACCTGTCCCTGCAGCAACATGGGCCTCCTCTTCACAGCACGTGCCACGCCGTGACTTGGACATGGATGATGGCCGCCTGTGTTCCTCACTGGACTGTGGGCTCTCTGAGAGCAGGGATGGGGGTCTGGTTTCGTTCATTATCATCCTCTGTGTCATCCAGCCCAG